GGTTTCTGTTTTTTTCTTTAATTTTTACATTGTAATCCTATGTATGCCCACACACACTAATTATCATGCACTCGCACACACGGCCCTCTGATCTCCAACGGATCAGATCGGGCTATCCTCATCGCGCGACCACCGTAACACTCATCAGTGCACCCTCACTAGATCTCCCCTAATCACCATTAATCCTCCACTTAGCCTTTAACCCGCCACTTTAATTAACATAATTAGTCATTTTATAATCAATCTAATCCCCTTTTTTACCAATTTAATTAACTAACAATTAGTTAACCCTTTTATAAAAAAAATCAACCTTTTATTTAATATTTAACTAAAATCTATTTTAATTAATTACTTTTTTTATTTATTAATCAATTTATTAATTTATCTTATTTCATCAACTTTTTTTTTTTTAAAATAACTTATGGCTGGTTTATAGTTCTTAAACAAAACTTTTCTTTACAATAAGAATTAGATTTTATCTGTTATAATAATAACCCTTTTTTTATTTTAATAATATTAACCAAAAACCATTTTCACATTTTAAGACGGTTCATTTAAAAAGTTTATAATGATAAAACCTTTTTTTAAACAATAACAAACTATTTTATTTAATAAGGAAACTAATTTCATGATTAGTTTACATTCACTTGTTAAACTAAATTAATAATATAACAAACCTTTTTAAATCACTTGTTAAATTAATTCACATCTAAAACCTTTTTGCTAATTAAATTAAATTAACTTTTTCTAAAATCAACTTCAATCAACTAATTCAACTTTTATTAAAACTAATATAATTAAGTAACCAATTCACCCTTTAATATAATTTTCTTATAAAATTAATCTCGCTTAAAATCAATCCCACAGAAAACTAATATAACTTTTCTTAAAAATCAACTCGACCAAAAAATGAACCGACATCGAGTTAAGTCAACCTTTTCTCATAGATCAATCAGCCCTCATAATCAACATCCAATCGAGCACGCTTACACCTCACATTCACTCTCACACACTTCAGCGCTTTCATGCGTCCGTGTATACCTTATTTATCTGCTTTTACTTTATTCGCAATTTACATTATCATATTTATCCTTCCTCGCGTCGCATTTCGTCCAAAGGAAAAACCTACACATGATTCAACACTTGTGTGTAGTGCACATCATTTGCATCATACTCCCACTTGATCCTTGATCCTTGATCCCATTCAAGTTGATCTCTCTAAGTTAGATCCTACCCCATAGGAAGGACCTTTTCTTTACAACTTAGATACAAACAATCAACTCAATACAACAATATTCAAACACAATAGAGAAATAGATGTTAATCATCTTAAGCGAGATAGAACCTCCACCCCACAACAATACAATCAATACCGTAGGGACTTTGCCTTAAGAGAGATAGAGGCGTACTTGTCGATCAATATCCGAGTACTTGAGCCCTTCTCTTAAGACGATGCAAAGACTATTTTCCTACAATTTGTGGCGGTTAAATCTCCCTTAAAATGACAACTCACCTTTTCTCCTAAACTCAATCAATCAACTACCATAAACCCGTATGAACTTTGACCACAGTCAAAGGACTCCTCAAACCCTTTAGGGGAACTACAAATACTCTGATTCCACTCCCGTAAGGATATGTAGGCATAAGATGCGATATCTTATCGAGTATACTTAGAAATGAACTCCTAGGTCTTTCAATCTTTAAGCAGATAAACCTTAGCAATAAACAAACATAAAATAAGAGGTTCCTGTAGAGTACTACAGAAACTTAGGATGCTAGTATCTTCCCTAAGTTTAACCGACCCCCGAACCTATAACTCTCTAGCTTGCATTTGCATTGCATTGTGGGAATTTCGATCTTTATCCCTTCCTTTGGACAAATCAAAGTTCTGTTGCAAATGAATAAGATTCAAACTAATCAATAGTTTGGTATCCAAATTTCACCGCGACAATCAAATGTCATGACTTTATGTCATGTTCATACTACTGCTTAGGAAGAGTAGTTTTTCATTGTTGTTGCTTGTCTATATGCAACTATTTAAAGGGGGCATGTGTGAACTTGAATAATTCATATTTGTTTCTTTTCTTGTGATTTTGGTTTTCCCCTTGAGGGGAAGTATTGGCTAGGTGTGGCAGGAGGAGTTATGAACATGTTTGATATGTTGTTGCAAGGTTTCAGTTTGTACAAAGCTTACATGTTCTCATGTAGTTTGTGTTGTTCTGCTTGATCTATAATGTTAGACTAGATGTCTTGACATTATGTTGTCTGGTGTGCTCTATTGCCTTGACAGTGTTGTGTTTGTGGTTATGGTTCTTATTGTCTAGTGTTTTTGTTTTGATTCCGCTTTGTGTACCTCTAGTGTGTCCTAAGATTGTTTTAGCCAAAAAATTTCAAAGGGAGAGATTGTAAGTTCTATGATTTTTGGATTGGCAACATTTTGGTAAAACATATTGTCAGCAAGATGTTAAGTCAGATGTTCTGCTATGACAGTCAGACATCATGTTCATCATGATGTTGTGACATGTGTCGGGACATGTTATACCAAGAAGTTAGGGCATGACTGTTTTGGTATTTTTATGTGAGTTTTGAGTGTGTTTTAATTCACACATTTGCGTTATCCAATGATGAATATTGTGGGAACTTCTGTTTTGACAGATTGTGTTGGTTTTAGTAAAAAAGATCTTTGAAGTTTTTTAGAAAACTTTGTATTTTGTTCCTATTATTGTGTAGGAAATTATGCTGATGATTGGAAGCTAATTCCTTGTGACTTGTGTTTTATTTTGAAGCTCAAGCACATAAGGACTGGAGCTTATTTAAAGAGAAGATTACAACTTGGACATTTTGTTGAATTTTGAAAAATAAGGATTAGCCATGTATTGAAGTTTCTTTAGGGTTTAGTGTGTTTTTATTTGTATGTCGCTCTTATATCAGATTTGATGCATTGAGTTGACTGATTGTTAATTGTTAATTGTTCACTCTAAAACTTTTAAGAAATAGTGTATTGTTCTTGGTTGAAACTTTTAAGCAAAACTAAGTATTATACTTGGAAGGGTTGATACTTCTATTTTGGATAGTTGTTGAATGGTCACAGGTTTGTGACTGATAGGAAGTGAGAGGGGGATCTCATATCTAGAGGGTGTCTAAGAAGAAGTTGCACAAGGTAATGATTAAGTGAGAAGTTGTAAACGGAGGAGTTTAGCTTTGAACTAATACTATCATAGTAAATTTTCTTCCTGACTTGGTAGCCCTCAGATGTAGGTGACGTTGCACCGAACTGAGTTAACAACTATTAGTGTTATTTATCTTTCTGCTCTTTAAGTTTCTGCATATTTACTTGTGTTATCTAACAGTATTGATCTCAGTGTTGTGACATCTGTCTCGACATCTGGTATCTGTGTGTCAGAATTTCATACCCTTCAGCTATATTCTCAACATTTTTCTTATTTTTGTTCTCTAGCTGTGTTTGTTTCTTATTCTTCCACTTATCATTTTTCCAATTAAGCTTATCATTATTATTTTCTTAACCATTTGAGCCTTAAGAGCTTGTTCTATTTCTCTTTTAAAATTTCTCTTAATCAATCGTAATTCATGTGCCTCTAAGTTACTTTGTAATTCCTCAATTCTCATATTGCTAGTGCCCTTTGAATCTTCTATCACTACAACTATATAATCAAATAGAGAAATACGTGATCTTATTACTTTTTCAACAATCGCTTATTCTGATAGTGTTTCTCCATAAGTCTTCATCTCACTTGTCATTGCAATCACTCGTGCGATGTAAACATATAACTTCTTATTGTTTTTCATGTTCATATTTTCGTATTGTTTGCGTAGGGACTGCAATTTCACCTTTTTCACCTTTTTCACCAATGCATCACCATCATAGCATCGTACAAGTCTGTCCCATACCACCTTTGTCGTCGTCGAATCAATAATCTTCTTAAACACCTTTGTGTTTACACACTGATGAATGTAAAACACCTTCGCGTTTATACTACACACATTCACGTTGCACATTTCTTTGAGCTTTCTTTGTATTTTTAGCCATCGGTGTGTAACCGTCGTTGACAAGCTCACAGACATCTTGAACAACGAACAGTACACACATCTGGATCTACTGTCAATTCCAATTCTTCCCATCAAATACTAGCAACGAACAGTACACGCATCTGGATCTACTGTCAATTCCAATTCTTCCCATCAAATACTAGCAGCTTTGTGTTCAAACCATTGTTTCCTCCATTCATCTTTTTTTTGTGTACAAAACACTCAATTCTCTCCATCACTCGTGTTTATCCTACCCTGAGAATAGAAAAAAATGTGATTCTCTTCAATTTCGCACTTCAATTCCGTCTAAATCAAAAAACAAAATCACACACACCTCTGATCCACTTATGTTTCCCTAGATCGAAAACGGAAGCTCATGATATTGGAGCTAATTGTGAAACTCCATTGATACACACAGTTCAAGAGAGAAGATGAAGTGGTTTTGCAAGGAAAAAAAGATAACCCTTGCATTAATTTCTAAGTGAATTACAAGTACTGATATATACGGTTGAATGAAAATTAACAACAATGATTGCCAGTAATTATTCCAAGTAACACAGTAAATGCGAATATGAATTACTACCAATAGAATGGAGTAATTCACTTTAATTTGGCTGGGAACATATCCATCTTGAAAACTGAAAAACACAAACCTACCACTGCCACAAATTCGGTGCACCCTTCACGGCATACCAACAAAAGCAACCACCATGACACAAGTTATTTTTCTAATGATTTCATATTCCAATATACACAATTCAGGAGAGGCAAAATTAGTATCCATCGTTATAAATCCACCTCCGCACAAAGGGGAACTTCACAACCTCAAAATGACATAAAAATGATGCATTTCACTTTGATCCAATAGCTAGAGAGATTACAAATAATAACATATCCTAAAACCAGTGTGGATCTATTTCAAATTAAAAACTCCTTCTCATGAACCTCCTCCATTAACCTTCTTCTCCAAATTCCTTTGTGAATCTCTCATGAACCTCAAGGTCACTTTTGCTTACTGTAGGCCTTTGTCTTGCCAGAACCTTTTCAAAATCAGTTCGCGTGATAGGAGGTGGAAGAATCTGCATAAGTTTTAAGGCGGTAAGTATTTCCTTCTCTTCACTTAAAGACGTGTATAATAAAAATCTAGTCCAAAAACATCACAACTCTATTTCTCCATTTCTAATTATAAAAAGATCCCACTGCCATCAAAATCTATAGAATCTTTAATACCTTAGAAGCAAGTCCTTTTGTGGCAAGATCCTGCATTGTAGTTTGAACTGCGCCCTGTTGCTTTGGACCACATGGGATCCACATACCCTCAGAACTCTTAAAGAAGAACATAGCATCTTGGGTTTTGCGAACAGGTTCAAATAAAACATCCTTCACCTGAATAAAAGATCAAAAAGCTTTCTAAAAAATATTCATCCAAGTAAAAGATTATTGATATCAGTTATCTCATATTAGAAGTTAAAAACTTACACAGACAGCTATATCTGAACCTGAAAACCCCCCTGTCCTACTACCCAAATATTCAAAATCACTTTCAGTCAAATTATGAGGAGTATCTCCAAGATGCACCTGCTCAATTTATCACACCCAAAACAAAACCCATTAAAACAATTTGCTAGGTTTATATATCTCAATAAAATTCAGCATTCGATAATCATGGATATTGCCCTTGCCTTGAACATGTGTTGGCGAGCCTTCAATTCTGGTAGTGGAATATATATACGCTTATCAAAACGACGCCTTATTGCCTGCAGAGTGCAAATACAAATTGATTAGTGAAAATAACTGTCTATTCACTCTGTATGGGATGATAAAAGCAGAACTATTTTTATCTCACCTGGTCTAAAGCATAAGGTGTATTTGTTGCTGCAAGAACAAGAACTTTCTGGTCATTGTTTCCTACACCCTACAAAGTAAAGCAAGTGAACTACATTAAATAGGGAAAAATGCAAAAGAGAGGACATAAACCATAAATGTTTGAAGTTATAATAACACTAAGAACAAAAAAGTAAATCAAAGCAAACACACCAGACCCAAATGTAAGAGAGGAATTCAAATCTACCATGGATGTCAATATTAGCTCCCATGGCTTAGAATTGTTTTGAAACCAATAAAACCATGACTTGACCAGAATATGCTGACAAAGGAAACCATGGAACTAATGATAGTTCAAGTGTTGCAGATATTACGCACTCAAACAAGAGTTGACCCAATGTACTACTCCCTCTGTCCCTTTTTATAGGTGCCTTAACTTTTTTTTACAGATTTTAAGAAAAGTACTAGTAGTTGGTGAATTTAATATGTCTGCTTTGGAAGTAGATCATCCTGAAATAGTACCCTGTGTATATTAGTATGTGTAACTTTAACTTTTCACATTCCAAGATAAATTAGTACTCTATAAGGGGAATGTTTGGAAAAATAATAACAAATGCACCTAGTAAATTGTATAGGGTCTTATGTTTAGAGACAAAATTTCTTCAAAGAGGGCTTATAATTAGAGACAAGGGGAGTAGTATTAATTACTTTTATTTTTCCAATTGTACTTTCTAATTAATTACTTCCAAAACAATATATTCCATTTTGTATTTATGATAGTGGGAAACACCATTATTTAATAAGAATAATGTGGTAAAATTACTATTCTCTTCCTTCTATTGATAGTCGTTTCTTAAATGGAGTATGTATGAAATGAGCAAAAGTGACACTCTTTGGGAAATGGAGGGAATAATAAGAAGCGCTAGGGTCAGCATGAAAGAGCCCAATCTTATTGCAATATTCAACTATTATGTTCTGGCTTCTCATAAGCGACAACAACCAAGCCTTAGCACACTAAGTGGAGTCGGCTTGGTTGTTGTAAGATTGGAAATTATTGTTTCAAATGAAGGCTTAGTTTGTTTTGCTAATGAAACTTTTAAGGTTGGTTGAGACTTTTACCACGTATTATACTATATAAATGAGACCATGCTGAGCATAACCTACTAAATTGATTACTATGCTTATCAACATATCCTGACCATACAACTATTACCTGCATCTGCACCAAAAGTTCTGTTTTGATTCGTCTTGAAGCTTCACTCTCATTGCCTTCTCCACGCTGGCCACATAGGGAATCTATTTCATCAATAAATATGATAGAAGGGGCACTTTCTCGGGCCATCTGGAAAAGGTTTGAAACCAATTTTTCACTTTCACCCATCCACTTTGAAACAAGATCTGATGAAGAAATACTGGTGAAGAATTCAAATCAAAAGTTAAAAATGCTCGAAAGAATATGCCCACTTATGGACCTAATTGAAAAGAATACTGAAGATCTCTTTTAATAGATCAAATATATCTCAAACTCTTGTAAAATGACTTTTTTAGACGAATAAGGTACAGAAAATTAAAAGATGTGTATAATTATGTACATATCATTTTCTACATGCTACTCAATCAGCAATTTTTAACAACCCAGAGCAATATATATCATAAATCTTAAAATTTTTATCATTGGATTTACCAAGAAGGTACATCACATTCATTTCAACTCCTTTCATCTTTATCATATGACCTTGTCCATGTATATCATCAAAAAAATGATAGAGGATAAAGGAAGTGAAATATAATAATTCAACAATTTTATAGCAATAACAAAGTAATTTCCATAAGACATTATTGTCAGGAATTTGAAATTTAATTTGGTATTTTGCGTTTGGTGCAATTACAGTTGAACTAGAATTCTACTGAGATATAAAATGGCAAGGCAAAGTCCTGTGAAATTACTCACCTGCAGTAAAAAATTTAATGCCTTTAAAAGGGCATGCAATGCATAAATTGAGAAAATATAAATTTTTTAACTTGTGAATATGATTTCATTAATCTGGTAAAGTTCCAACATGGAGATTCCTTGATCTCAACAAAATTTATTTTACCTGAAAAATGTTGAATCAGCCTCAGTTGCAACTGCCTTGGCTAAATATGATTTACCAGTTCCAGGAGGTCCGTACAACAAAAATGCTCTCCATGGTCGTCTTTTACCTGAAAGAGACCATAGGAAAAACATATTCAATAACTGTATGCATCTTATCCTGTTAATATATCATTAAAGCTTTCAGCTCCCAATATAAATCTTGTTTTCACCTTATTTCATGTATTCAATGTTGTTTTGTCCAGGAAACACTCATTTCATTTCATATTTTCCAAGTTTTGTAAAGCTTTGTGGAGTTCTCCACACAAAACAATTGAAAACATGAAACAAAGTGAAAAACAATTGCCATTTTTGCAAATAAAATTGAAATAGAAAATAAAATCAGAAAGTTAAAACAAAAATCAAATAGGCCCTGCATTACTAAAAATAAACGAAGTCAATAACCAAAGTAACAAACTAGCCAACCTTCAACTGCAAAAATCTCATCTTGCATATCAAAATTGATATGTTGATCATGTTCAATCCTTAGTATCCACAATTCCACATCCTATCATATTCAATCACCTCCCCCAACAATACATAAACAAAATCATTCTAGCTCAGAAAGCATAATTATTCTCAATTATCTAAACTTAGTGACTAGAATAGAAACTAATATTGAGAATTCAACAAGACATATCTAGCGCATACACTTCACATTGAAAGCGTGTAAGGTGGCTCGCCACACCCACAAAACACAAAACCTTCCAGTTACATTCAATTACTTCAATTTTCTTAAACTATTACTAGTGTCGACATTCAGTATGTTAGTATCGTATCTGGTATGTGTCTAACAATAAAATAGCAATAATTAACCAACCAGTAAAAAATTGAGGGAACTTGACAGGCAAGATAACAGCTTCCTGCAAAGCTTGTTTAGCACTCTCCAACCCAGCAACATCATTCCACTTCACATTAGGTTTCTCCCTAATAATCGCCGAATTCAACCCAGCCCTAAGCTTCGCCTGCTCCGGATCCTCTCCATCCCCACCACCTTCACCGTCTTTACCACCATCCTTAGCCTTACTCTTAGGCCTTGTAGCAACAGCAGCATCGCCATTAGAAGCTGGACCAGGCCCACCATCATCAAGCACAGCCCTGATCTCCTCAGCACGACGCAAATACTCGGTGAATTTCTGCGTAATAGCTTCTCTGATTTTAGGGTTCTTCTCGTACTTCAAATGAGTCTTGAAATACTCCAAAGCGTTCATATATAAAGGAAACGCTTTCGCGTAGTTACCAGCATTATCTTCATGAACAGCTTGTTTCACGTACTCTATCGCCTGTTCCTTGAAATTGCTATACATTTTTTTTACCAATTTAACATATATGTATGATAATTGAAAATGGAAAATTGAAAACTGAAAAATGAAATCGAGAATTGGTTTATGAAGGAAAAGGCGAAACCCTAGAGAAGAAGCGCGATCGTGTTTGTGGATTGGGGAGGTGAGGGTGATAAGGATCTGATCGGAAACGCGGAGAAGAAGAAAAGGGAAATGGAGGAAGGGGCTGAATGGTTTGGTTTTTGATTCTAAAAAGCGCGTTTCAATTAAGTTGTGCGAAACTTTGTATTGCGTCTTGATTTTACTTTTTTTATTTAATAAATGAAAGTGGGTTTTGATTTTATTTCGTAAATTTTGTATAACCTTTTTTAATTATAGTTTTTTTTTTTTCCTTTGGTTTACGTTATAGTTGGATCTCCTAATTTATTTTAAAATATTTATTTTGGTCTTTCTTCTAGATTTTCCTCATTACATATTATTATAAAATATTCAGTTAGATCCCTAATCTAACACTCTTTCTAAAATTTCTTTATCCATTTTTAAGCTTTGATTTTATGTTAGGGAGGCATGGATATCTAAAGATTTTCTTTAAAAATTTGAAGAGAAGGAGATTTCAATTTTTTTTAAATAAAGAGAAATTTTTAACATTTTTTTCAAAACAATATTTTGTTTAAAATGATAAAATAGTGTTTATCATTAATATATTTAAAATTTTTGAAATATTATAGCAATAAAAATTATAGTTAGTTCGAAGTATTTAAAGGTTGTTTCTTTCCAGCTTCATTTAGGGTCTTGGTCGTTCATGAGAGGGTATTTTAGTTATGTGTTAAACATAAATCTTGAAAACTTTTTCTTAGATTATTCCTTGATTTGTTCCACCTGAGGTGTACCTTTAAGGACAACTTACATGATCAATAGTTCATTAGCTTTTGTTCGATCAATCGTCTGTTAGACACCTTTACCTAGGATTGGGGTGATTTTATGGAACACTATCTTTGCTAGTAATACCTCTTACATTAGAGGCCTATCTCCATTGGTGTTACCTTCCAGTTGAGTCATCTCGCTTTTGTAGGGGTTCACTTCCAAAGTACTCGTCTAAAATCCATTTTAACCGAGATGCCTACTCCTATTGTACCAAGTTAGGTTTTCTTTCTCTAGACAAGGTGGCAATGAAGGAGGAAATATGATCCTGGTTTCAAAGACTTGGTTAAAAGGAAGGATTTGGCCTCGACGAGGTGCCTCCTTCCAAGGTGAGAAAAAAGTGAATTGACACTTATGCTATTGTGAGTGTAGTCAAACAGGCGGAGGGGAAAAGATATTTGATGAGGACGAAGTCTTAGAGTTGATATTTTACATCTTCTATAATTATATGTACCATATAAGAAGATATATTATTTTGGGTATTACAAATTTACCCAGTTGGCCTCACACTCAACCACGTGGCTTCATAAATGCATTTCTTCATTTCTCCTTTCACAGGTACACAACATGGTTCACAATCCTGCTCTTCCCAAAACTAAACACTACTTTTGCAAATATGTTAAAATATAATATATTTACTTGCTTTTCCAATGCACAATTATAAACATTTAATACAATTTAGTCACGCTTGTTTGCTTTTTCTTCCATCAACCGCCCTATTACCTTCTTTCAAATCACCAACATCTTTTCAGCATGGTTTTTAAATCTCATCGTCAATATAACATGCCTTCCATCCACCATCACACTGTTTTATCCCAAATGTTCATCGCTTCTTCAACTGCATTGTATCATTATTTCCGCTTTCTAAAAACACCTACTCCTATCAGCACAGTTTATATTCAAATCCCCGGTAACTAGAGGATGGCAAGACCCTTCGAGAAAATATCTGACATTAACGACACAAAGGAATTATGGAAGGTCGCTGTTAGGGTACACTACAAATGGTTGGTTGTATCCAACAACAAGCAACACATAGAAATGATCGTAGTAGATGCACATGTAAGAGCCTATTTCTGTTCGTAACTCTATTTTATCACTTTCCCGTATACTTGTGATTGCCCCATTGGTTGGTTATTTTTTGTCATTGAAGTGGTAAAGAACTAAATATTTTTGACATTATGCATTTCAACATATGTTTGTTAAGTTTTTGTTTTTCTTTGGTTGTGAGTTGTTAACCCATGTGTTTGTAAGGTGTTTTTATTCATTGGCTGTAAGATTGTTAAGTTTTAATTTTTCTTCCTGTTAGATGTTAACCCATATTTTTCTCTTTGTTTACTTTAACAGGGGAATGATATTCACGTTGTTGTTCCAACAACGTTTATGGAGGTTTTCAGTGACAGACTAATGGTAGGCCACACATACACCATCTCAAACTTCAAGGTTCATGCAAATGATCTTGTATTCAAACCTTCAAGCCATGGCTATATCGTGAAGTTCACTGGAGGGACTTCCATTAATGACGTGAACAAGCATGAAATTCCACCAAAACTGGCCAACTTCACAAATTTTTCAGATATCATAACTGGACAATTTAGAAAGGATTTGTTGTTAGGTGACCCATGTTGATTATATTCCTTTACTGTTATCCCTTTTTTTTATTTTTAACATTAACGCATTGAAGCTTTATTTTTTAATACATAATCGAAATGGTTGATAGCTTAGGTTTCTTCCATGGCCAATCAGGTGGAAAAAAACAGCAAGTCAACTTCGTCCTCAGAGGCATTGGGTAACTTTCGTTCCTACTTATACCAATATTTCTAAGTTGCCTTTTAATTCATATTTAATGTAAATAAATTTTGCACATTCATTTTAATATCATAAGTAACACCATAAACTGCACTCTTTGGGATTCCTATACCACCCAATTCATGAAATTCAACCAGGAATGAGTCAACAGCGTTGCCCCAACTGTGGTTTTGCGTCAGTACACAAAGATCAAGGAAGAAGTTTAACCTACTTATATTTCTACTAACATACATCTCAAATAGACTATTAGTATGTTTTGTTCTAAATCTTAACAATGTAGTTTACACCCTAGGAAAAATTCCACTTGTTGTTACAAATACATACAATGTAACCAAACTGTACATCAATGCTCATTTTAACCTACTTATCAAGGAATTTATATAAAGGTCCCTTCAAATTGTTATTTATTTATTACTACATGCTCTCAACTCCTTGAATTAGAAGTTTACGACTCACTTGTTTATATTTGCTTGTAGGATCCCAAAGGACTCATTGGCTAACGTTTAAGCACAACTTAGCTCTCAATCTCAAATGTGTTCACAAAGCTCAGAAAACTCTCAACAAATCTCTATCCAAAAATTACTTTCAAAAGTTGTTGCTCTTCCCCTTAATGAAATTGTTAAACTTTGTGAGGTATAATATTAAACCTCCTCTATTAAACAACCTGCCAAATACTTCATTTATTATCAACAATCACACTTACCATCATTTAACATTTTGTTGCAGATTACTTTATGTGCCACGGTTGCCAAGAGCAAAAAACTCATTGCTTTTCCATTTTGGCGGTATTACTTGTCATCAGTGTCCCAAGGTTACTCATGGTGAAAAGGCTCTGTTTATGTATGATGATGGTCATTCAATGGAAGCTGAAATTTGTAGGTTGGTTTCTTACTTAAATAAATCTTATTTAAGTTATATTCCTATTTAGCAATAACACCCTCTCACCATAAGTAATCGTGACGTGTTAGGTATAAAATTGAGATTGAAGTAGTTTATGTTGACAAATATTGTAAGTTTGTTTTCTGGGATAGAGAATGTGTTCAACTATTGGGTGTATCTGTTGCACAGATCCGTGATACAATGCCTAAGGTTTATTCCTCAACGAATTCAATGTCTTTGCAATATGGTAGATTTACTAACTTACTCAATAACATTGCTAGGTTTCTAATATTGTCATTGTCATACCCTCTTTTTTTTCACCCTTTCTTTTTATATCAAGCATGTGATAGTACACAAGAGTTTCAAGTGAAGTTGATTTATTTCAATATGAATTTTGAGTTGGCTCAATCAATTAGCCGCTCCTAGCATAGGAGGGAGTTTAGTCTCATCATGGTCAAACCTAGACAAGGAGGTTATGCACCTAATGGTAATCTTTTGTCAGAAGCCAGCTTAACCTCAAAGTGTCATTTAGGAATTGTCAAGTAGTTAAAATTTTTGATTCTACTAATGTAGATTTTTAATGCCTGAAAGTGATTGAGTGTTGCTTGCAAAAAGGAGACAATATTAGCTCATATTTGTCTACTATGGATCATTTAGTTCATGAATGTGTCAAGAAAGTTAACATGAAAGTCTCAATCCATGTTGAAGTAGACTATGTGGAACAAAGCCTTCATGTGAGGTGAGGTCTTATACAAGGGCTATGAAAAGGGCTTTCAAAAACACCATGATTTAAATAGGCGTTATGGTTGTCATTTGGTTCATGAGTTACAATGTTAAGAGATAAAGTAAATGAAGATTTAAGAACTAAGCTCCAAAGTTTGAATTTCATGAATGGAATTCATTGCGAATATCTTAGCTTTAGATTCAAGTCTCAAGTATAAGTTCAATGCTAAAACCAATACATTTGAACCAATTTCAATGGTTACAAATTTCTTCTCATTCAAGCTTCAAGTTATAAATTCGTGATCCCATTCAAGAAAAATTCAAATTTTGCAAGTTTCAAATCCTTTCCAAATTCAATGTCAATTTCCAAAGTTTCAACTTATTTCAAATTTCAATTCAAAGTTTCCAACTCCTTTCAAATTCAAAATTTACAAATTCCATAATTCATCCAATTCAATTCCATTTCAATTTTCAAATTCTATCCATACTTTCCAAGTTCAAATTCATAACGAGTTTTAAACATAAGCCCATTCAATTTCAAGCTCAACTTTTAAGTCACCATTTGCAAATCACAATCTCATACGTCAAAATTCATAAAAATTCAAATTCAAATTCATTTTAATGATTCTTTTAAAAATTCAAATTACCATACAATCTTAATTCAATTTTACAAGTTCACTTCAAGATCCAACCAA